ACTCGGATAAATTCTTGCAGCATGTGGCGCTCAACTTCATACTCGCGGGTCGGGACACTTCATCGGTTGCCCTCAGCTGGTTCTTCTGGCTCGTAATCCAGAACCCACGAGTCGAGAGTGAAATCCTCAAGGAGATTTGCTCGGTACTCGTCGAGACACGCGGGGACCAAGATGTATCGGCATGGGCCCACGAGCCGCTCGGGTTCGAGGAGGTCGACCGTCTCGTCTACTTAAAAGCTGCACTTTCCGAGACGCTGCGGTTGTACCCTTCGGTACCAGAGGACTCGAAGCATGTCGTGGCCGATGATGTTTTGCCGGACGGGACTTTTGTGCCGGCAGGTTCGGCGATCACATACTCGATATACTCCGCGGGTCGGATGAGGTCGGCGTGGGGGGAGGATTGCATGGAGTTCAGGCCGGAGAGGTGGCTTTCGCCGGACGGTAAGAGGTTCGTGGGCCACGACTCGTACAGGTTTGTGGCGTTTAATGCGGGCCCGCGGGTGTGCCTCGGGAGGGATTTGGCGTACCTGCAGATGAAGTCGGTGGCGGCGGCGGTTTTGCTCCGGCACCGGCTGGCGGTGGCGGAGGGCCACAGGGTGGAGCAGAAGATGTCGCTGACGCTGTTTATGAAGGAGGGGCTGTGGGTGGAGGTTTATGAGAGGGATTTGAAGGGGGTGGTGGAGAGTGTTAAAGGTAAGTCAGAAGTGTAATGGGTAATGAGTTTCTTTTTTTGTTTTTTGGATTTGTTAGGCCTGAGTTTTTGGTTGGTTGGTTGGTTTGGTGGGTGGTGGTTTTTATGAGATGGATTTTGGAGGGTGAATTTTTGTGGGGGCAAAAGGGGCATGTGATTTTGGGGTAGTGAAGGTTTGAAATGTGCATGCTTTAATGAGGTGAGGTGAGGGTTCTTTGGCAGCTCACTAAGGCATTCATGTTTGAAGGTACAACCATCAATGCGGTGGGTATCGAGGGAAGGTGGTGAATTGAATGATGGTTGAGGTTGATCTCCTGGTTTTTTTCTTTCTTCTCTTTTTTTTTT